CTTGACAGTCGTAATAAGCATTTGGTTGGTAATAATGCATGGTACGTATCCATAGGTATTGAACAGTAAGGGCTGCAGTTTCAAATCGACTTAAATCGGTACTTGAAGGCAATGTCATCAATTTGGGTTCAGCACTGTGAAGAGGTTTGCGGTTTCCATGTAAGGCGGTGTCGTTTCTTGTGCGAGAAGTTTGTGCTTGACAGGAACAATCCGTGGTACACGCAGAGGTAAAGTAGTTGACCTCCGTTGTCCGTCGAGTTGGTTGGGATTGAATGTAGTCCGTCAAGAAGCCCTTTTGATTCGTCCAGGGATCCCACTTGAGCATTGAAGTCTCCGGCGACTATTATAACGTCTGTTGATCGAGCACTTTGGAGTCTTTGAGAAAGGTCTTTGTGGAATTTACCTTTCATTTCTGGCGAACTACAATCGGTCGGTGCGTACACGGATACGACAAATAAGCATCAAGCTTCGTTCTATAGCTGAACCGTTGAGACATGCAGCGCAAAGTCGGCTGTTAACCGGGATCCAGTCGGAAGATGAATACTCGGCCTTGACAGTCATCACAATCCCAACATCAGTAACACTGCGAGCTTCGGATACAGACTCACCCGATACATGGAGAATGAAGCGTGAGGATGAGGCTGGATCAAGAGAATGCAGGGAGATAGTTGAAGAAGGGTCTTGTATGCGTGTTTCGAAGACACAGCATACATCTAAATGGAAGGTTTTAAGGGCTCTAGCTAGGGCAACTAGTTGATCAGTCTGATAGGCATTGAACGAGGCTTGGTGGAAAGAAGATTTTGGCTTTAAAAATCTTATAACTTCTGATTGTCTGNCGATGGGTCTCGTAAAAGGGGCATTTGGGATTATTTGTGATTGAGAAGAAGAACTAGACAAATGGGAAAGATTGTTTTCCAACTGGGTGCCTAAGACTTTAGGGTACGATATACTTCGCGGCAGCCCACACCGATGAAGGGGTTTTTCTTTGGGAACCCTAACCAGAGCCTTCGACTCAAAAGTCTGACCCACAAGGCAGTAGGGAGTGGATACAACGCGAGAGCGTGACCGAAGCACCCTTGTGGGAGCTTCTAGAGACATGTTACGCAAGGCCTTCGGGTTTTGGGTTCAGTGTTTTATTCGCTGATGCTTGGATTATCGATCCGCTTTTCTGGATTGGCTCTTAGTTTCATGCACCGAATGAAACAGGCGGAACGTGGACGGGAAAGCACCTTATTGGTTGGGGGCTGCCAAGCTTGAGCCGGCGGTAGCTGTCCAATTAATTGCGAAGAATTCTCCCACCACCGAGAGGGAGCCCCAGTAAACTGCCCCGCTCTGTGTTTATCTGATGGAATGACTTTTCTAGGGGCAGTTTTGGATAGAAGGAAGCCAGGAGGTGCCCAAGTGGCTGGCTTTGTGAGACTGAGCTCAGTATGGCATCTAGCCATTGACCTTTCAAGCATGATTGGATTTTCGGCTGTGAAAAGCCATCCTGTGTAGCTCGCAGGGTCATGGAGGCATGCAAGCTATCACACCACGTCACAGTGCAGTTTCGTCGAGATGGATAAGCACTAAGAATCGATCGGCTTCTCCCCTCGATCGCAAATGTTACAAACTGGTGAGCAGATATGTTGCAAACTGTTAAACATTTTGATTATTTTTCTTTCATTCATAAAGCCCTATATATAACTGGTCATACACATCGTGTTGTAATGACATGATTGAGATGCAATGAAATTGGGATTTTTTTGCCAATTTTGAGTTCTCATTATGATCAAATATTAGCATGTCAATTTTGGGGAATGCAATTTTTGCCAAATGTGAAAATTTACCCATTCATATTCAAAAGGAAATCATAGAGGGATTTAGTTGTGTGCATTTACGGGTGAGAGGAACAATACGATATGAACGAGGATATTTTAGATGTGCTATACATTGATTCAGATGGAACTGATACTGTGCATCAAATTTGTTGGATATGACAGAGTTTTAACACCAAACTTTGAACCAGTAGCATTCATGTAACAGTAACTGGAACTGCCTGGCCATCAAAATGATCACCGAAACACCCACTCATCAATAAACGGAACAACCATTTTTGGTAAACCGAACTATTCTCTGTCATTTTACTAATATTCAGTAAACCAGAAGAAATCATTCATCCGATTAGTTCTTAGAAACAAAATATCTCAAAATTTAATTATCATTTTCATCCTGGAGCAGGGGGATTGTATAGTCATTGTATAGTCAAGCCGTTTTATCATCATTGAGTTCTGTATAGAGATCAGCCTATATTGTGGTATATGAAATGTTGATTAATAGTGATATTTCCCGAGGCGTCACAGAATTCCAGAAATTTGTTTACGTTAGATTTCGGTAGCGTAGTTTTTTAGTCAGTTCAAATAAATGCATTCCATGAAATATACTATAAAATTTTGCTAATCATTTAGTTATTTTGACGATTGCGATATGCAGAGTTTATTATAATTTGCTCCATCGATCCACATAGTTTTACCGGTGCTATTTGTGACTTAATTTATCAAGTTTTTATCCAAAATGATAACAATTTTATTTTAACAATTTTCTAAAACAACAACAACAATAACAACAAAACTACCAGGGCTTTTCTGTTGTTATTCTTTGCTTACAGGCAGCCAAGTTGTTTAAAGAGTTAACCCTGAAGGATGCAGAGAAAGCCTTAACAGACGATATAAATCGTTTGGTGGACACCATCCCTCCGAATGATATCGAGGAAAAGAACAACTTTCGGACACAGATGGACGGCTTTCAACAGCTTTTCCAGCGATACTTGCATTCGACTTCCGAAGCATTTGATTGGAAGAAAATGGAACCGGTACCACCAGAATGCGTAAGTCAACTTAAAAACAAAACATTGCCTCAAATCGGATTGGTGTTGTTTGATTTCAAGGTTGCAATAACAAGCAAGATAAAATATACATACTTTTTATAAGTTGCAATGCACAAAGTTTGAATTCTTTAAGATTGAAAGGTTGCTTACTCGGCTTCGAGTTACTTACAGATCTCGACACTGACTCAGGAATAAAAGCGAAGCTGACAAGAAACTAGTAGAACTAATATTATATCGTTACTAGGATGTTTTTATGCAAGCACGCCGATGAATTCTAATTTTGCATTTCACGTATCAATCATAGTTGATGACTGCTTCATAGTATTTACCTTGTAAAGTTGTATAAAAGCAACAAACTGTTGTTAAAGAGCCTATCTAAGGTTTTTTTCCAAGCAAACGGTTGCGACACAAACAATACGCACGTCCGTTTGATATAGACTAGAAAGTATATACAGTTGCGGGATCTGACTGTGTCTGCCCTTTGCTACGCATCGGAAGAAATTGTTCCGGATGTTTTTATTACGAGTAATAGTATGATGAACAGTTGAGTTATTCAACATCATAGTCTTGATTACCTGCTGTTCGATCGGAGAAATTGGCAATACGAACTTCGGAGATTACAGTTGACTGTGTCGCCATGGTTCTGACTTTGAAAAGTAAGACCATTGGCTGCCTGTGATAACGATTTAAATCGCTTTGTCACCACGGTCATCCCGGGATCCAAACAAACATATCGAAATCTCGAGGCCGAATGAAAGCAATGCTTACACTTCAATGAGTTTTGTGCTGCTCGTGTCTTTCTGCGCCAATATTCCTTCCCAAAATACAATCTGTTATGCAATACCATAAGTATGTTTCCGGTGGATGATGATATAATTGTGACTGTCTCTGGCATAGACCACAGGCGCTTAGTTTAGTGACTACTGTCCGAAACGATAAATAAAATGTACTAGCTTTCCTACCTGAAAGTAGGAGACGGTCAACCACTGAAATGGCTATATCCAGGGTGGCAGCGTGCTGTTAAAACCCTGTTAATAATTGCGTTATCGATATTTGTACCAGCTGAAGTTACCTCAAAAAGGTTAGTTTTCGTAATCATTTCCATTTATTTCTGTTTCCTCAAGGAAAGACACACATAAACATGCTATCTGGGAGACAGATCAAATGTCAAAAGCGCAGAGCAGATAATTGAAAGCAGACCCTCCTAAACAAACACTAGTTTCAGTGTTTGAATAGTCGAGATGGTGTCTGCAAACTGACTAATTGTTTCTGTGATCTCATCTAAACAACCTTGGACAAACACATCCGCGCGGCAGCGGGAGTTGTGTTTGTCACCTGAAAACACTGTTATTTCTTCAGAAAGTCAAAATAAGGAATTGAGTGTAACAATTGACAAATCTGGAATCAATTATTGGTAAAACGCTTATGCAAACGCGGTTCTCCTTTGTCATTATTCTCTGACCTGTGATTAAATAGGAACAGTGCTTCTCCACCTGCTCCCCCTCCTATGGCCGAACTTTTGAGAATATGCAAAATCTGGCGATTTCATATATTTGCCCTTTTGAAGATTCCCTCTCACTCGTAGAAGGTTTAAAACTATGCCTACAGATAGAATGCAATCAAACTTTGAATGGAGTTGGGCTGTATCTATCGAACTATAACCGTTTTTAATCTCGATATGTTCATTTGGCCTCCCTGTCGCTCGGTTACATTTTAGATGAAAGCCTACTCCAAGTTGACCACACCAAGCGACAGAGAAACCATTCAAAAGCAACTGAATAAATTGGTTGTGGTCAAACTGAACGGTGGTCTTGGAACTACGATGGGTTGCACCGGTCCAAAATCCCTCATTTCGGTCCGAAATGATCTGACATTTCTCGATCTCAATGTTCAACAGATTGAGGTAACCTATTCATTTGTGAATCATGTTTCTTTTTTGTTAGTGTGTTAAGAGATTGAAAAAATTGGAACATATTTCCACTCAACCGCACTGTGAACTGAATACTTACAAAGAAGGTGATTTGCACTGCAGGCTGTCTGGCAATCATTGCTGCCCTGTTTTGTAATGTAAATTGAGCCTCGCTTATGTCGTTACCATTCCACTACAATCAAGTAATGAAATTAGCGAGTTTCACGTCAATTTTTAGTTTTTTTGTCGTTCGATTGGTTTTTGTATTCTTTTAATATTGCTGATTAATCACGTATGTCTCCATGGTTCGTTAAATCTGATCTCATATACTTGCACTGTTCATAAGTGCAGTCTTCTCCCTCATATGCCTCCCACCTAGAATTTGGCGATCTTTGAAACTCTATAACTTGCCACTGAAAGCTTCAAAACGAGTCAGAAGCACTTCAGCTGAGTTGTTTTTCCTTTTCTTAGATAATTACCAGCTTAAACCAACGCAACATCACTAAATCGGTTGATGAGGTTGCGCTTCTGTCAGACATCTTTTTGTTGTGCTCAGTGAGTTTTTATGTTTCTAGCGTTTCACACGCCAGTGCGGTAAATTCCTCTCTTTCTGACAACATACTTCTGCGCAAAATGATGGCTTATACCGTTTCCACCAACAAGCTAATTACTAAAGCAGGAGTAAACTCGTTACGTTTTTACTATGAGGAATGTTTCGAGGATTGAAGGAATGTGCAGAAATGCACAACAATGGGATAAAAACAAAGTCAACTTGGCTTGTTTGTTTATTTTTGCGTGGAGTATGCGCGAGACCAGTAAAATAGTTTTACAACCCTATGTGAATCAACTAAAATCTGCAGTAATTTAGCGGCAATAAGTGTTTATCCACTTTTTTAGTCCGTCCACGATGTAAAAATTCCTCACTGAATTTCTCTCCCGGTTCCTGACCTGTAGGCACGGGCGGATATAGCGAGACTCTCTCAGCCAGTAGCTCAGCTTTCAGTCCATTGAAATTCTAAATTTTCTCTTTGATTCTACTTTCAACCTTTTCCTGTCCTCCTACTGTTCATTCAAATGGGCAGCCAAAAGACAGCAACCAAAACCAGCGCACGAAAGTGCATTGTTAATGGTAGTACAAACTGAACTCTCTGCTTCGTAGTCGTTGAGATCCATATGTCTTTCCCTTGTATACTCGACGTGGGTTGTTTCCAACCTGTGATCGTTCGGTTGGTTTGACAATACCAGGAAGATTTCCAAAGGAAAGACCATATCGCAGTACTGCACAATTTATATCCAGGACAATTTCGCTGCATCTCGACATAGCGCATACTACAGAAAACAATATGTATATATAGGGCTTTAGCGTGGCAACACAAAAAAGTAAAATACATTTAAACAGACAAAAATAAAAGGGGAGGGGTGAAAGAACAATGTCACCAGGGTAAGCACAAACAAACATAAAGGTCTTCTTGGTGACACAACTGGGGCCACTTCCATTGGGTGATAGCAACTGCTTTTGCAAAAACCTTAGCAATCTTGCGATTCGTGACTTGTAGAGATAATCCAAAACACCCTGCTTCAGTCGATCTGTTGTTGCGTCATCAGAAGAAGTTGAGCAATGGCTGATGACGGAGTCTTGTAGTTTCAACTGTTGTATCTATGCTGCGGACTTGACCTCGATTGCATCGTCTAACTTTGGACCCCATTTGGGATGTTTAACCAGGCGATTAATCAGTTGTCGCTCTGTTCTGTCCATGTAGGTCACTCGGCACCTATATTGGAATTGGTAGATCAGATTAGAGTTTGCGTACAGAAGCAGACGTTCTTCGGCTTGAGTTCAGTCGATCCATTTGTTCTGTACGTGATCCACTGGCCCTTTTGTCTAATTGTCTAATTAATGATTGCCGAAACAATCAATTCACGTCTTGAAAAGTGGCGTGTTGTCTAAGGGTGTTACATGAATGAGGCACAAATATGTATAAAGAGGCATCAGGATTTCTTGCGCAGTAAATAGTCAGATGCACAATGCGCTACATCATTCCTCAAAGGTATTGTAATGCGAACGTGCTCCTGGCACTCGCGGCGCAGCGGAGTGAACAGAGACGCGCGACAGGATGTCCCTCGGCTCGTATTCTTACAGCTCAAGGTGATACGGGGCTTGACAGACGACAACCGAGGGCGGGAGAACAACGGTAGGGTGATGCAAACGGGACACGGGGTGGCAGACAGGTCCTCTGTGGGTTGGGGTTAACGGTAAACCTGCCAGGGCAAAGCAAACAAAGCACCATGAGCCAAAGAGGTCTAGTGAGATACAAGCACTCGCGATAAAATATTAATTGCGTGGTGACAAAGCTACTTGACATAGCTATTTGCAATCTCAATATGTGCGGGTTTTCGAAGCGGCTTGTACTCAATCCATCAAATTGCCGTGGTAAACCCGAAGGCCTTGGACTTTTTTGTAAGCACTGACGATTTTTTGATGCATAAATGCCGGTAAACAGGGTTAGAGAGTCACTATAGGACTCCTACTTTCACTTATCTTATGCAGAGTTGCATCAAGCAAACATTTATTCATGTTTCATTTATTATTATTATTATTATTCTATTATTTATTCATGTATTAAATTTTGTGAAGATACCGGCTCAACGTTGTGCGTTCAGTACTCTTAAGTCATAGCTTAAGAAGTTGACTAGAATGTTCTAGGTTTCATATGACATGTGAAGTAATAGTCAGAAGATTAAAGTCAGTAGTATCTCCGCAGTTTAATATACTCTCAAACTTGAATAGGTTTGGTACAAATGGAAGGTGTTTGGCTTGTCTTTGAAACCGAAAACTCAATCGGAATGCCATGATTAACTGTTTAGAAACTATACCTTCGTAGTAATTAGTAGTACATTAGGTATCTTTTTGCATGCATAAATACACATTTGGTTAGACAAAAGATCCGGAATGAAAAACGGGGACGATATTATCCTGATCCCTCTTTATTCGTTTTTCACGACAGGTGTTGAATAATAACTACGGAGCCAATATACCACTGGTCCTAATGAACTCGTTCAACACCAATGCTGACACAGAAAAGGTATTAAGAAAATACCAACAAGTTAACGTGGAAATCGTGACTTTCATGCAAAGCATGTGAGTTGTTTTTCATCCTATTTATCAGCGTTATCATTAACAACAGCATCATCACAAGTATCAGACTGGGGTGGAGGGCGGGGGTGCACGATTCCTTGTGTCAGTATAACCGTGACAGAGACATTTTTGAGCAAAAGAAATCGATGAGGTATTTTTGCGGACACTATAGTACCAGGTTATCCTAGCCAAAGCATGCGATTCTCTGGGAGATTCACAGCCGGAGCCATTGACTACGCAAAGCTTGACCTGCCAGACGACCGGATTTGGGTGCAAGTAACAAATCATTAGGATTACTTCTTCAGGAATGAAGAGAGAAGCTGGCTTCAGCTTTGGCTTCGGTTGGTGCAGCAGCCCACCTTCCAGGTCGGAGCTGAAGGGATGAGGATTGTTGCGGGTTAGAGACGCTGCGAGATATGGCTCGGAGTATGACCCCATTTTACTCTGCTATGTATGTATTCAAACTCTCTATGTTCTATTATTCTTGTTGTTGTGTTGCATCAGGCTTGCTCGTCTTTGTATGTTACATTCTTGAGACGTGGTTCGCAAGTTCAGTGTGTCCAGCAAACTCTGTCTTTCGTGACTACCGTATCCCGAGGATTAGCTTTTACATCTCTTCATAAGAGGTTTTATATCAATTCCCTTGGATGAAATAACTCCCCGCTTCTCAATAATCCCGTTACATCTTCGGACATTTGTTTTTTGCTTCATCACTTCATTGAAAACACACTTGCCAAGAGAACGCAGTGAATAAGCTTTTCTCAGCTGTTATACGACCAGTTACAATTTACGAAAGTATGTCATATATATATA